TAGTAAAAGCAGCAAGACATGAAACATAGATATCATATGATTCTCTTTCCACAGTTTTAAAATGGCAAAATAAATGTATGTTATTAAATGGTAAATTAAACGTATGATCAAGATAGTGGTGATCTTCGAGGCAAAGGCAGAGGCAGGACGGTGGAGGAAGCATGGAGGAGGCTGATGGAAAATCAGTGCCCAGATGCTGAGATCAGCCCTGGACAGTATATCTGCATTTGTACACTTTTCTATCGTGTGTTATATCTGCATAAAAGTATAAGCAAAGAAGAATGCTATCTTCTTCCTATACGCCGATGGTCTCCTTCTTCCGGGATGTCTCCTTTGACTTTTAAAGTTGCTGGGTTTTTTTTGTTTGTTTGTTTGTTTTTCCGGTACTGGGAATCAAACTCATGACGTTGCGCTTGCCAGGCAGGCGCTGTGCCTCTGAGCTAAATCCCCAGCCCTCCTTTGACTTTTAAGACACAAACCTTCTTTAACTCAACTTACCATCCTCCAGTTCCATCTGTTTTACTGCGAACAGCAGGATGTCAAGGAAGACAAATACCGCATGTTCTCTCTCCTGTGTGGGTGCTAGAAAAAGCCGATCTGAATAGAGAACAGTGATTACTAAAGTCTGGGAAGATGGGTAGAAGACATTGGATAACAGGTATACCAAAGTACAGTTCCAAGACAGGTAGATAGGAGTAGTAAGCCCTAGTTCTGCAGCACACCACCTGAGATGACTGTCTTCACAATAACTTACTATATATTTTATGAAGAACTAGGAGGAGCCCAAAGGCCCCAAACACAAAATAATGATAAGGAGATGATTACCATGATTTGATCAATACATACTGTATATCAGACTGAAATATCACACTGTATCTCATAAGTATGGACAAGTGTCACACAGTAATAAAAAAATTTATGTTGAAGGACATGGAAATACTAGCTACCTTGATTTGATCATTCCACATTGTATACATGTATCAAATTATAACCATGTAACTCATAAAACATACAATAAAGAATAAATGATCATTTAAAAACCCAAACCTTGTACTACAACCAAACCTCCTTCCCCACATTCTCAAGCTCAAGCTTCAGCCCAAACTCTGTTCTGCTCCCTCTCTTGTGCCAGGGAGTTGAAGTGCTGGGCAGCATAGTTCTTGCCCTCAAGGAGGTTAGCCCAAAGGGAGAGCAAGTGAAAAAGTAACCTGACACCCTCAGGCAACAGCTGGGGTGTGACAGTCAGCAGGTCCCAGCTACCACTGACTTAGGCATAGAGGAGAGCAAGAGTTGACATCCACAGACATGGGTGTGGCTCTCAGGACTACCACATTCTAGCTGTGATCTTGGGCAGGTTCATAAACTCTCAGACTTTTCATCAGCAAAATGGGGATTCTACCAAAGGTAGAGAATTAAGTTACAAAATCGGCAAATGCCTGACATGCAGCAGGTGTTTGACAAGATTTAGCTTCTTTCCTTTCTCTTCTTAGCCAAACATGCCCAGCAGTGGGTCTCTGCTGAGCGTTGAAGGACAAGGAGATGTCCCCAAGTGAGGTTCGTCCCCAGGGACTTCTTTCACTACCTCCTTCTCTTGTCTCCTGCCTGCCACCAACCCACACCAGGCTGGGCACTCAGGTCTTCAGGTCTTTACTAAAAACTTAATGATTCGCCAATGCCTTTCTTTTTACAGATGTATCTGGAATAATCAAACGTTGGTTACAGTCATGCTGATGTGACTCGTGTCCTGGTTTGGGTCTCTGCACTGTCCCACTCACTATTTTTATGACTTTGGATGAATTCTTTTGTGTCTCCAAATCTCAACAAAATCTCATACTTTAAGTTCTCTCTCACATGGAATTAAAATTATGCATGTGCAAGCCCTTTTAGGAAATGCAAAATGCTGTGTAAATGTCGATCATTATTATGATAGTAGAAAAACATTTACTGAGTACTTTTCATGTGTCAGAGCACCTTAGAGGCATTATCTCAGTAATTTCTCACAGAACTAGAAAGTAGTTACGACTAACTCGACAACTGCATTCATCTGCTACCACTGTTAAAAGCCA